GGCTCATTCCACCAACTTGTCCCCTTCTGCAGTCGGTTATCTGGGGTTCATTTCGATGCTCCTCTTGATAGCCCTTTTTGTCCTCTCCAATGGACCAGGACGACCCGGACAGTTGTTTCCTTGCCATGTTTCCTGAACTGCACGATGATTCTATCGACTGTCAAAAGTGGGATTCCCAAATTCTGCGAAATTTGCCGCTGACTTATTCCACCATCTGCTTGACCAACTATCCTTCCTCTAACAAAATCTGACAATTCGAGAGAATCTTGAGTTCTAGGCATGTTGTAGCACAAGATAATTAGTGTGCGGACCATTTTCATTTATATAGTGCTCTGTGAACACAAATTAGTTAGCATAAATCAGTTAAATGACGAAAAATTAGGTGTCTATTTACTTGTGACCACTCAGTGTATATGCAAGGTATGCACACACACACATAAAAACATGCACAGCGACATACAAGCATACACACACATAAACATATAGAGAATATTTTATGTATTTTCTATTTTATTATATTTATGTGTCACTCATGATATCCATATGTTCATATAAAAGGTCTTTTTCAAAGCTGAAGTATATCAAAAATGATTTGCGCACAACAATGAATCAAAAACGACTGAATTGTCTTTCTTCAATGTGTATTGAAAGTGATATACTTCGTGGCCTTGATTTTTCAGATATATGAAATGAATTTACAAGTTCAAAAGCACGAAAATTTAACATTTAAGTCTGTTTATTTTACTTACGCACTGTGAGCATGTATAATAAAATATGCATATATAGCTTCTTTTTTTAATTTCCAAAATATTATGAGTTTGAATAGGGTTAAGGTCCTCCACGGGTCTAAATCCGGCCCTGAGTTTATCAAAGCAATTTTGTTTTTATTGTATAAAGCTTAGTAAATATTTCGTCACCTCTTACAGTAGTTTACACGAAGAAGTATTTATTTAAAGTAATCACTTTATGGAAACAAACTATTCAAAAAGTTGTTTATACACGTCTCTAGTTTTAAATCCACACAGAAAATAACGTTATTCAAATATCAGGTAATATCTGGTTTTCGTTTCAACTTTTATCACCTATGAACCTAGATATTTATACGTGTTTTTAAGACAGTGCAATAGACTCGTGTTTGATTAGGTTTGGCCTTGATGATGTGAATAACCTCAAGATATAAAGCTTGCCTCTTTCCCACTCTTGGTGAATACTCCTTCACCCCTTGCTCCACAAACTCTTTGTTATTTATTTTAATTCTACAATATGTACGTATAGATATAAACAGCAACAGAGTAAGTAACCCTAACTTACGAGAAGAGTAGTTTAAATAAACGTTAAAACTTAAACTTCGAAGTTAACGCTTATCCTACAATTCGACGAGGCCTAACTTGTAAAGTTAAGTAAGGAATTATGAATGTATAAATCAAAGTATTGCTGATATATTGAACACTGAAATTTATGACTATTAATATTTATCAAAATTATTGTAACGTTATTTGGTATGAAGAAATAAAAAAAAACAGTTGATACATATGAGTATGACTTCACCTGACTACTTCTAACGCTATGGTTACGTCATCTTTCGAACATAGGGTTTGTAATTCCTGGTGGATAAAAATATGAAATAACTGTTTAAAATAAGGTTTATATACATTTGTCATTTATGAGATGCTGGGGCAACTTTAAACATTATACATCTAATATGTCTTCTTATATGATTATAATTTTAAATATAGCCTTCAATAATATAATTTAGTTTTCCTATATAAATCTTAAATGTTTTTTATGGTTACCGTACGTGAACTTTTTATTTTATTTTGAGTTTGTTTGTTGTTAAGCGCAAAGCTACACAATAGGCTATCTGTGCTCTGCCAACCAGTATCAAAACCTGGTTTCTAGTAGTGTAAGTCCGCAGACATACCGCTATGCCAATGGGTTTTTTTATCTTGAGTGTAAAGATCGTTGTTTTTCTAACTTTATGTCTTTGTTCATTGTAAAAAATATTTATCAGAGACTCTGCCATTTCTCAAGCTAAAGGCTGTACTGTTGATGATGGTACCTTCTCTTCAAAGCTGTGGACTTATCATTTGTAGCTCCCCAGTTACTACATTTTTTTGCTAAATTTATAGTTGATAGGTGGTTGTCTTGAAAACGACTGTCAGACGCGTATGCAAAGACGACAAAATGCGTTTTCTGACACTACATATAATCCTAAATAAATTCAAATTGGTTGTTTGCTTTGAACCGTCCTACGAAATTCATAGCTTCAGTAATTACAAGTGACACGCATAGTTTTATCGCCATTTCCCAAAGTTCAAATTCAAAAATAAGACTGTATAGACTTGGCATAACCTGATGGTTAGGGCGCTTGACTCACAATCTGCGGGTCCCGATATTTAAACCAGTTGGCGAACTGCTTGCCATTCCAGCCGTGGAAGTGTTATAATGTGACAGGCAATCCCACTATTCGTTTGTAGAAGAGTAGCTCAAGAGTTGGCGGTGAGTGACGTTGACTTGCTGCCTCAACTCTAGTCTATCACTTCAAAATTAAAGTCGGGTACAGAAGATAATTGTCAACTATCTTTGCGTGAAATTTAATAAACAAAATGTCTCTTGAAAAATTGTTATGGTTTTCTTGTTTGCTCAAGAAGTTTTGTACAAAACTACATAAATAACTACCTGCACTTGGCCACCCCTAATTTTGAACTGATAGGATTGAAAGTAGGCAACTCAATTAGTCAAAAGCACCCATTTCAAATTATTGGGCTACCTTTGCTGATCGAATAGTGGGATTTGAAAGTCACCCATAAAGCGCACCCATGGCTCCAAACCGTGGAATGCGTTTTTGATGTCAACGATAAGTGAACCATGTACCATCAGATTCACAGTCCAAGCACTAGGCCACGCCCTGTCGAGCTTGAGTGCTAGTAACACAGGGTTTCTTCTACTGTGCATGATGTAAATGTAAATAACGGGAACATTTACTGATAAACGTATTTGAAGTTGATTTTTTATTGATCCCTTATTTAATATTAAATTTCTTATTCAGAAATATACCGAAAATGTCCGGTTCATTTTCTTTACTAGGAAGCAGACATTATAATAACAAGGTGCCTTTCTTTTCTTTATGGGATAACCAGCAGTCGAAACACAATGATCAAATTCGTAAAAAAAAAAAACAACACACACACACACGAAAATACAAGAAAATGCAGACTTAGGCTAAAAGTGATTTAGTGTATATATGGTGACAATTAAAAAAAACAAGTGATTAACATAAACGTTTGTTGCAAAATTTAGAAAATGCATTCAATTAATGGATACACTGATCATGAATTAGATACTATAATCAAAGAAAACAAATAATTTGGCTGTTATATGTTCTTTTGCTTCTTTTCAATCATCTGTTTTATTTGTCTGTAAAATAATACGTAATTTTAAAGAAAGTTTTATAATTCTTTCAAAACGTCTGGAAGGTGATATTAAATGCCACCGTAAAGTATTTAAATTTGGAAAACAAAACTTTAAATTAAAGATGAGGAATTTTATAATAGAAAATTAATTGCGGTTCTTCAGGGATGAAAAGCCTTGTTAGATTCAATCCATTTCAAGAAATAGGTGATCCGAGAATAGACATCTGGAAAACCGACTTTAGCACAGCCAGACCCAAAAGATGTCAGTCCTGCCAAATACCATTTATTTCCTTTCTTGCATTGAAGCGGTCCACCAGAATCGCCCTAGGTATAAATTAGTATGGCTTATTTTAGTGTGCGTATTAATTTTTTGAAATTAATGCTTCAAATCACAGTGCATATCAAAATAAGACTAGATTAGATACCATTGATAAAAGTTTTAAAACTGATTCATCCGATGAAAATGATAATCATAATCTGAGAATATAGCTATTTTCAGTTGTTAAATTAATATGAATTTTATAAGATGGCACAACTTTTATAGGAAGATTATTAATTAGATTGTAATCCTTTTGGTATGAATTTGAAATATCTTAAATAGAAGGGCAGATCTGGACAAAATGAATCAAAATATCAACAATATTGATTTAAAATTTTAAAATGAAAATAGGGCATTAGGGAGAGTGATAAAGAATATCCTTTTTTTTACGATCAATTCAATAATTGTCTTCACTTGTTCTTGTTAGCCGATTATTTCCAAACAAACCAGTAAATATACATATACACTATAAAAATCATTTAAGAATTCATTAACCTAGATTTAAAATAATCTTTCGAGGCCAACAAGAACTTTGAATATTTATCCAGTAAATGGCCTTTAAAAGCCGATGTTCACTATTTACTCACGTACTTTAAAGTCGTTTTGAAATTCATTGTTTGCATACTTAACACGAAGCAAGAGTGATAAAATTTATTGAAGGTTATTTATTTTACTCAGAAATTACTCTATTCACTCTTGATAAAGAAATAAGCTACTCTTACGAAAACATTAGATGTATAGTTAAAGAAGTTATTTCTTGTCTCGTAGATCTTCACTTAATTTTCCTGCAAAAGTAAACCCCTAAAAAATCAAACTTATTTTTCACGTTACACTATACTAATATATATATATAAGTTGGTAGAAACACATCAATAACTCGAAAAGCGAAGAACAACTGAATTCATTCATCTGTATTTCAGAAAGTTTTATCAATTAAACATGTTCCTTATATGGGAAAAGTCTGTCATTAGCTTCAATATTTTATCAAAATATATCTGGAATGATGTAGATGTTCACAATATATATGTTGCAAGATTTAATGCTTGGAATATATGTACACTTTCAGAGAAAAGTATATACAGACTATATTTATCAAGATAAACGCAATATTTTATATACCATGTTACATATTTCAATAGCATTTTGTTTAATGTGGATGATTTAAATCAAAGAGTTGGATAGAACTTTTGTCTGGTACAATTAAATTCTATAGAATATGAAAAAAAACTTATATTTTGAATAATCCAGTTTTGATAAATGTGCATATACCAATAATCGATAATATATATCTTGAGTTTCAAATTGCTATAACTTAGTACTATATTAACTAAAGATCACGAAATTGCCATCTACATTATTTGTTTAGTACTAAAAACGTTAATTAATGCAAAGGCATTTATCTCCAGTGTGTTGTATTCAGTTAAAATGGAAGTATGAGTTAAAATATTTTTATTTACTATTTTCATAGATATATTTGCTTATTTTAAACCTGGATATAAATCCAGTAGAACTGAAGATGTTGTTTCTTTTTTCAAGAGCTAATGACTTTATTGCAATTACACAACACGTTAAGTTAGTCAATACTGATGTCCTCCCTTTTGATAAAAAGAGCATTTTAACCATTAAATTATTAACTCGTTTTTATACCGTTCACTACCGGTTAGGGTTCACATATTGAGTAATTTTATGATTTTACCTGTTACAACACTTAAGGTTACAGAACCGATACAAAAAATAAGTGAAATCGCTCATTTTCTATGGAGAATGTATAGAAAACATCAGCAGTAATTAGTGTAATAGTAACAGTATTTTTGTTTAAATTTTGTGTATTTTTTCTTACGTTATTTGAAATACTTCAACCAACAGATTCATGGAACAACGATCAATTTAGTACATTTTTACAAAAATATGTTAAAAATTCGAAGGGATAGATAGTTCTGGTGTCAACGAATGTTATATTCTAAGATTTTTGATGTTGTATAATGTTTCGTTTGCAAACTAGTGTAGATAATAAGATTATACATACATGACAGGTCCCTTTTCCGCCTGCCAATGTTCCTGCACAAAGATGCCAGTCTTTTATGGCTATTTTAAATTGTTTATTATATGCTCCGTCACATATAGAGTTGTCGTAAACCTGGACGTTTACTTCTTGGAGAATAGAGGACCCTTTTTTATCTGGAATAAATGACATGCATACCTCATGAAAGTGATGAGTTTGATACAGTACATACTTCAACAGACATTATTCAAAATACTTATATTACATGGCCGTAATCAGAGATATAAATTTACCGGGGCAAGAAATGACAACCAGTTGGGGGTTTGGAGGATCGCTGTAAGCCCTCCCCAAAAAATTTGAAATTTTAGCCCACTCACAGCCATTCTTTGCAATTCTCGGAGGGTTTCTGGTTTGTTCAATTTAGATTCTACCCACAGGGGTGTGTTCAAGTATACTTACAGGCCAGGTGTACATTTACTGTCAGTAGAATGAATGAATATATTGATGCATACCAGATTTTGGAGAGAGAAAAAAAACGCTAAAAAAAACTACCGGGGCAGTTGCCCCATAGCTAGTTACGGACATGTATTAATAACGATACCCAACACTAACATTACAGCACATTTTAGGCTCCTTGTACAATTTATGAAACATATCTGCCAGTTTTTTTTGTTATTTTTTTTTTTTTGTATGGTGTTCTCACACCTCCAGATTCTGTTGGAGGTGAGTATCCGGGAGTAGGACTGGCGTCCTAGTTCGGACACCAGGTGAGCATTTTTCGTTGTGACGGGGATTCGAAACCTCAAGAATCAGGTATAACCATCCGTAATTTAGAACTGCTGACCAATGGAAGGGTAAGAAGTCATTAACACTCACCATCTACCTAGTATATTCTCAACTGAATAGCGGGTTAGGCTGTTAAGATTATAGATTATACCTCATTCCCCTCTCCCTTGAAAGTGCAGAGCGTGTACTTTAAACACCCTTTTCCATTAAAACAAAAGTACTTTTATGAATGTTGATACTATGCGCCCAGTCTAAGAAGTTGGTAAGTTTGTTAGGAAATTCCATTAATTTTTACAATATTAACATTCATGTACTTTAATACTTGTAACGCATAAATCAATTCAGTAAAATATACATAAATTTTAAATAGGAATCTATATAAATATAATAGTACTGTCTGTTGTCTGTCCACGTAACCACTTCGCAGGGTGTGGATGGATCTTCACCAAAATTTGTACGAAGGTTCAATAGGTCTATGCGGGGGCACATACAAATTTTCAGTTTTGCGTTTTGCGGTTTTTATGGGCATTTCTTTGCACTACTTCGCCCCCTGTAGATGTATCTTCGCCAAATTTGGTATGAGGTTCATTTGGGTCTATGGGGAGATACATACAAATGTTCAGTTTTGCATTTTGTGTTTTGCGGTTTATATGGGTGTTTACTACTACTATTTCGCTTTCTGTTGATGGATCATCACCAAATGTGTCATGAAGGTTTGTTGAGCCCATGCAGAGATACATGCAAATTTGTAGTTTCACATTTTGTGTTTGTTTTTATGGGCGATTTTGCGTGTTTTTTTATTTTATTTTTTACAATTACATACAAGGGAAACAACTTTTCATGTCCTAAGATAACCTTTCATTAATCATGAATTTACATAACTTCCGTCCAGGGGTGAGTACTCGAGCTAGTACATAACTTGTAACGAGAAACAACAACGTTTCACTTTAATTTAGTTTCTTTTAAGCTGTTCTGCCCTATTTTATTTCCATGTTTATTATCATATAGTATTATCAATTTTTACAGCTATTATTCTGGTTGTTGAAATAACGCTACCAATAAACTATATTGGCGTAAACGGTTGTGGACTCTTATGTAGGGATGGCATAGAAAAACAAAATGGCGACCAATACATAGCCTATGGAAACGGCAACACTAGCACACACGCAAATCTGCGCAAACAAGCTATAGCTCATAAGCACTTGACCATTCATACACAAAACTATTCGTAAAGTTCGGCCAACTTTTGTCGGTAACGAAAAAAACGGAGGTTGAAATTCGCCCGTTTGTTCTTCTATCTTCTTCTTCTCCTCACGCTGTAGCTTAAATATGAAGAAAGTCCTTCAGTTAAATCACGCACAGATATACAGAGTTAAGTGTAAATTAGTTTCCTACGATACATAAACTAGGTTTACTACAGTGCTTGAACTATATAGAAGGTTTTTACGATAGAGACTTCGAGGTTGGCATACTTCTCAACGATACGACATTTTGTAATTGCTATAACAACGAGTAGGTAGCGCAGCGCCACCTAAAAATTGTATAAACAAGTAATTAAAAAATTTAAACACATTTTAAATTAGATGTAGGTATGACGTGCATAAAGAACAGAATCAAGAAAGAAATGCTAATATTATAATCTTTGCAAATCCCTCATTCAATCTAGGGAGGGTCGTGAGGAAGGATTTGTACAGAATATAATATTATCATCTCTTTGTTGTTTCTGCTCTTTTTGCACCTGTCATACCTACATCTAATTTAAAATGTGTTTAACTTTTTTATTTACTTGTATATACAGAGAGCTGGGGGGGGGGCGAGTTTTTGTTTCGTTTATAGGGAGAAATTATTTTCAGTATAGTTACCAAAACGTTGGTCAAACAAAAGATGAAGAAAGGAGATGAATTGCCCATAGGAATCTCCAGCCCTGCTATGCTACCTACAGTTCGATAGAATAGTAAATATTTTGACAAACTAAGATATCCGTTGTAACGTGTCCAGAGAATGGATGTTTTACACATGAGCCATAGGTCATCAATAATTTTTCTTGAGAAATTATTAGAATTAATAACACTTTCTCCTAGAGGCTTTGTTTGTTTGTTTGTAGTTTAAGCACAAAGCTACACAATGGGCATTATGTACTCTGCCCACCACGGGTGTCGAAAACCGGTTTCTAGCGTTATAAGGCTGCAGACATACCGCTGTGCCACTTGAGGGCTCTCTAGAGGTACGTGGGTTTAAAACATTGAAGAATTTACTGTGATACTCCTTACGTTGTTGAATTTGAGGTAATGAAGAATGTGTTGTATTACATAATCCATTTTATATAAATTTTGAGGGACTTACCGAAGTCCACTTTTCCCCACCCAGTAGCTGCACAATCCGCTCCCATAAAAGTTTCATCTTTGTCAGGTAAACAAATCGGTTGAACGTTCTCGTTGACATCAACTGGTTGTGACAAACGCATCATGGCGATATCATTATCATATTGGGAATACCAAGCGTTGTAGTAGACGTTGGACACGTCGTATGTTTTTTCACTTCCTTCCTCCTTCTTCATGTGATGCTCCCCAACTCGAACTTTCCAAAACTGAGCTTGGGGTAGGACAAAAAGTGGACTGAAAAACAGCAATTGGTTCAATTGGTCGTATAGATCATGATAAAATTCAAATGATTTATAAACACAAAACTTAGCATTACACTTCTGATAATGTTAATTAAGCAGCATTGTGTTTTTAGGATACTCATTACAGAATTTTTTTTGTTCTGTTCTGAAAGTTAAATATTATGTGTGTTTGTATTGTATTAGAAAATGCCACGTTGGACTATATATATATATATGCTGTGTCCACCGAGGGGGGAATAGAACACATTGAAATATTAACTCATTTTAAGATTTTTTCTTAAACTTGAATGGATTTAAAGAAAACAAGATGGAATCCTCAATAGCCGAGGCACTTGAAATTCTTTTAGGCAGGATTAGAGTAAATTAATGTATGATACTTTTTTCCCCCTTTTTATTAGTCATATTTTTGTGCGCCAGCAATAGCAAGTGGGGAGCGCGCGTATACCCTATTCCATTTTATCACTCATCAAGATCTCTACCAGTCTACCCTCAAATTGAAATTCTTTTAAGCAGGATATTAGAGTGCATTAATCTATGAGACCTTCGGCCTGGTTAAATACATCAAAAGAAAGGGTTTAACCTCCTGAGTCCAAAACTGTAATTAGAACTAAAATCGGCCAAGAGGTGACGGGGCTATGAGCTAAACGTTTGTACGTGAAAAAACAAACAAACAAACAAAAACTCAGAGCCGTTATGCCGTGGCTAAGAAGAGCAATCACAGAGAGAGATTTGCATACCTTCGCCCGGCCGCTACTTTTCGAGATTGCTTGCGTTTATATTGGATAATGTGAAATTTCACCGTCGAAAACTCAGAAAATCCTTATCCATATCCATATCCAGAATGATTAACGATCCTAATAATTTTATGTAATGTAAAGAAAAGTCTCAACCTTAATGTCCCCATGAAATTTAGTACAAATCCGATCACGCTTTACAGAGTTATTAACCGAAAACTGCGAAAATGCTCTATCTATAAAAAAAAATGCTTCATTGTGATCCAGAATCCGGATACGGATTTAGATCCAGATCAACTTTAAGGAGAAATATCCCATATTGACTTCCCACCTTTTGTAAAATTTTCGTGTACATCGGTCTAGTAGTTTTTGAGATATGCGCGCGGAAACACGGACACAGACACATACACGCACCCGATTGCAATGCCCTCTCAGGGTGAGGGTAATAAGGATAAGCATTTTTACTTGCAGATTTACTAATAAATTTTCAAATTCTAATCAAAATTTTTACTTTTATATATATTATTTTACTTTAGATGAAAAAAATTGTATAAACTTAGCAGCTTACTTGATAATACAATGAGCAGCTGTTAGAATCCATTGCTTCTCAATCAAGACTCCTCCGCACCAGTGACCCAGGAAACCATATTGAGGATGAGTTAGCTGAACAGATATCTTCCAAGGAGAAAATAATGCCGATAAATAATGAGTTTAATTCTATGCACATTTTATTATTACTAGTTTATGCTGCTTAATTGAGGGTTATAAAGTATATTAAATTTTACTTCAAAAAGTTTAAAATAATTCTATAAAATAATTGACAAAATATATTTTTATCTATGAAATAATATAAAAAGGGGCTCTATAGAAGTATACTCTAAGAAATTAATGGTATTGGTTATAGTCTGTAAAGTTGATACTGTGTGAATTTTGGGGCACAAAAACAAAATAAGTTAGTTAGACACAGTACTCTAAATGATGACTTTCTTGATGAGTCAGAAAATATTTGTTTTTAAATCAGGAGATAAAACAAGTGTGTAAATAACAAACTTTTCGTTAAATTTCTGATAATGTTACTTTGGCAACATGGTATTTTAAGAGACTGATTAGAGAATTTTACTTGTTCTGATCTGAAAGAGACAAAAAAAAGAGGATTGATGTTGTGTGTTTGTTTGTTTTAGAGTACATTAGGCTATATGCTGTGGCCATTGAGGGGGAATAGAATCCCGGATTTCAGCTTTGTAAGTCCATAATTTGTTTTAGAGCACATTGGGCAATATGCTGTAGCCATCGAGGGGGAATAGAATCCCGGATTTCAGCGTTGTAAGTCCGTAAACTGACTGCTGTCCTACTTGGGGACAAGAGGCTTGAGTGACAAAAGTATAAATGATTGTATTGTTTTCTGAACTTATGCATATATTTACTTTTAAACAAGTGGAACGTACTCGAAAACAAAACAAAAACTTTCTCTTCATATCTCAAAGCAGAAATGTATTTTGCACAACGAAAATTTTCTGTAAAGCACTCCTTACAAGGTTATTTTGGACAACAGTTTTTTAAAAAAAAATTAATCTTGAATCCACTTAAAGTATAAGTTCTGTTCTTGGTGTTTTGTAGAATTTGTTGAAATTATGTTTCATCTTTTGTTTGGCAGTCTATGTTTTAAAATTTGGTTTGGCCGTTTCAAATAGGGAATAGAAATAAAATGCAAGTTCTTTGAAAGTAGGCCTCTGAGAGCCAAACATTAGCATTTCCTAGTATTTCGCCTTGCAGGCAGTGATTGAATATACTTTTTGCAAACGTCGATAGCGTTTAAGTTTTGTTTGTGTATCACCAACAACTGATGTAAAAATCAGTATTGGTAATTATTCATATACACTATGCCATCAAATAGGTGTGTCATGGTTCGTTGTCGGGGTTACATATTAAAAGGAGGTGAGCATCTCTTTGGCACTGATCACAACCTGGACCTTGTTACCACTATTAACCTGGACCGTGTTACTACTATTCCTTTAACAAGTGAAGTGATACTTGAGAGCTTATTCATTACATCCTTCAGTCAGTGTTCCAAAATATGGACTGCTTAGTCCTGGATGGTCTGCCTTTCTTTATTTTTGTGTTTTTCTGAAATGTATGAAACACTCAACCTGCCAATACTACGTTTATACGACAATCATTCCTCAGGTCTGAGTTCCTTTCCTTGTGACATCTTAATTTGTACTGATTATCTGAGGAAAGGAAATGCATTAGATTTTGTGGTTAGAAATTTTCCTCAAGCATGTTCAGGTTGTCCCTCTTCATTCGCCCATATGTAGGTATTACTGTAGGTGGAGATTGGGATTTCTCTGTAGGCGTGACATTTAATGAGTTGAAACTGCTCGTGAGGTTATTGACGGGTCAGCTCTGCTGGAGACACATATAAGATGCAGAAGAGTACAGGTGAGTGAATTTTGATGACTGCTCTATCACGTCTTGTTAGTTGGAGAGCTTGAAGAGTATAAGACACGCATATAACTAGTACAGAAAGATGTTCGACAGCTGGAGAGAAGTTCTTTTCAAAGCCCAGTTAAGAATTATTCTGGCATTATGATGATTATTTAAAACGAGGACGATCTAATACGTACATTTATATAATATTCCTCTCTGTGTAGCCAGTTAGGGTTGTAGGGATACCATTTCATAAATATGTAATTTTCCACTTTTTAAAGTCACTAGTTATAAATCTTTATAAACCATACACAATAACGTATATATATATCGATATATTTGGGATTGAGTCCATTACTGATTGAGAATGTGCTGTTTCAGCGTTCGGATAATATAGTTTATGTGTGAAAAGTGTATGACAATAATTAGCAATATAGGTATTTTCACCAGTTATTAGTAATATACATGTGATAACTTCTTTGATTTTTTCTCGATATATATTTTCGCCTTGAATTTGAACTCGAAACCTCTCGCGCAGTAGGCAAGTACTCTACCAATTGAAAGAATAACTTAGCATTTGTTAGTAACGCTCTTTTTAGCAATTCAAACTACTACATGCTTCCCCTCTCACAAACAAGACCCGTCATCGGGTCTAATTTTAGGGCCGTGGGACGAACCACGCTTTGGGCGACAATGTGATAATTTATTTCATTTTTTCACGATATATTTTCTCGTTGCCTTAGGTTTGAACCCGAAATCTTTCACACATTAGGTGAGCGCTTTACTAAACGAGCTAAAGGCCTAACTCCCTAGCACTCCATAGTAAGGCTTTTTTTTTTTTTAATAACTCAAATTACTACACACAGAGACAAGAACTAACCACTTCTGACTTCTATAGAAAGGTATATTCAAACACTGCCTGACAGATGAAAGGCATAGTATTGGCTGGAGATATATTTTGACATTTCTAGACATGAATACATTTGATATATATATATATATATATTTACGGCAGGTTATGAAAAATATGTTGCTGATCTTTATATATCAAAATTTATCAGTGCGTTACTTGTCTATTATATTTTACCATCTACAATTTATTACACTGGTCAGTAGTTCAAAAATAAGGACAGCGGCAGATAATCTTAGTAGCTTTAGCAATAAATAAAATAGAAATACAATCTAAATATTTCTACTTTGTGCACATTTAAGAAAATTATTTTATTATTTCTAACTAAAAACATTCAATATTGTCTGTAGTGGTTCCGTTTCTTTCTTTTTTTTCTAAAAATAAAATCTGCTTTGTATAAATTACATCTATTTTTTTATTGATAGAATAGGTAACTTATTTATCAAAGTATTGAATCGCATATACTGTAAGGGCTCAGTTTTTTTTTATCAATGGCTTATTCAAGAGATTAATTTGCAGGGACTTTTATATATTCCAGTATTCTGTTCAATGAATATAAGCTCCCCAGTGGCACAACGGTATGTCTGCGGACTTACAACGCTAGAAACCGGGTTTCGATACCCGTGGTGAGCAGAGAACAGATGGCCCATTGTGTAGCTTTGTGCTTAAAATCAAACAAACAGACAATCAAGGAATATATACGAAAAGGTATGCAGATATACAAACAAAAATAAAGAAGAATACAGAGATTCAGGATTTATTTGGTAGAAGTTTTAAACTATCATGATCAAAAAAAGAAGAGAAAACAAAGTTTCCGATAAAAAGGACATGCTATCTATTGTACAAAAACCCACTCAAACAAAATGATGCAAAACTGAATATGACTGCGACTCTTATGTTATCTCTTATTACCAATGAATTTAGCTGGTTAGAAATCTTCAAAGTTCAAAATAGGTGACCAACAACAGCCAACAGACAAATGTGAAAATAGAAACTGCCCAGTTTAGCATCTACCAGCAACAAAATAATGTGACGGTCAATCCCACTATTCGTTGATAAAAGAGTAACCCAAGAGTTGGCGGTGGGTGGTGATGACTAGCTGCCCTCCCTCTAGTTTTTCACTGCTAAATTAGGGACGGCTAGGGCAGATAGCCCTCGTGTAGCTTTGCGCGAAATTTAAAACCAAACCAAAATCAGTCTTTCGGTTGGAAGGACATGGGTTTTAATTCTCTTTGATGTCAATCAACTTTTCAAGCCTCAAGACAAAGAAATAAGAACAAGAAAACTTCAGTAAATATAAAACCTACTTATTTACTGCAATTTTAACAGGTATCATAAAGGCCGACTTATATATCGTAATTGAAGCTAGCCATTAATACGTAGCCAACCTAATTGGGCATTATATCCTATCTGAACTACTGCTTGTCATCCATTTTAACTAAAAACCAAGAACAGGTATCTAATTTAAGGTCTTTAGACGATTTTTTTTACTCAATAACATTCTGAAAAAAGATACAGTGTGATTAACGTACACACATAAACTTAAGAAGAATAAGATATAAACGTGGTTAAATTAAATTTGTTTGATTTATGTAAACTAAGCCCACGACAAATATAGACATAAAACTACTTTTTGTTTTATAAAATCTTATACAGCCAGTAATAAAAACCTAAATTACTCCTCATGGTGTTAAGTATATAAAAGCAGTCTTTATAGTGTTACTACTACCTGTTTCACACTTACAAATACAAAATATCAGAATTCTTACTAGCACTACTGGTATATAAAATTGCTTACTTGCCATGGCCATTCGTTTGGTTCCGCATTTTGGCCACCCACGATACGAGGCACGAAGGGGTTATCTGCATACTTGGTAACACCGCATTCTGGAAAAGGAGGACAACCAAATTATTACCACTTTAAAAATCCTGCATTCTGACATAGTATTAAGGAGGACAAACAAATTATTACCACTTTAAAAATCCTGCATTCTGACATAGTATTAAGGAGGACAAACAAATTATTACCACTTTAAAAATCCTGCATTCTGACATAGTATTAAGGAGGACAAACAAATTATTACCACTTTAAAAATCCTGCATTCTGACATAGTATTAAGGAGGACAAACAAATTATTACCACTTTAAAAACCCTGCATTCTGACATAGTATTAACAGGTAAAAAACAAAACAAAAAAAACAAACACGTGGTTTAGGAAAGAATCAATGGGTTTCTCCCGCTGCTGTAGCTTATACATTTTAATTTAAAAATATTGCCTGTCTTATGCTAGGATTAAGGTACCGTCTTACTGTCAGCAGTAGCCGTCACCACCAGTGATACTGCAGTAGTCAAATATAGCCAAAGGATTGCCATTCTCTCTCTTCTTATTACCATTACCTACGGTTTCATGCTTATTGAGCGACAAAATGTTGCCCTAGCCCTTTTATAAGACGTCGTTAACCCCTCCCATCGTCAAGCCCCTCCAACCAAGGAGCTTCAAACGTGGAGAGTGAAGAGGATGGCGTCCTTGGGCCTTCAGTTTTTCCTAGCTATTGTTATCATCTTCATCAAAGCCTCGCCCTCCTTTATAACGACTTTATTCTATATATATATTTAATCTTTTGGGTTATTCGTGTGTAGAATCAAATCCTCAAGGAATTTGCTTCTTTTTATTTCAGATGTAAGCTCTTTTGAATACAACTCACTATATATATATATATTCAACCCAAGTAAGATTAAATCCATTGGGAGATTTCGAGTTCCGTTAGATTGGAATTAGGTTCTTATCGCTTCGAATTAAAAGATAATTTTAGGTTCTAAGTAAATGTATCGTTTATACCTCTAGGAATACTAGATTATAAACATTCGAAAATGCTTTCCACTTATGGGATTTTCTCTAATGAATTGAATCTTTTCAGGTATGCAAGTACTTGGAACAGCTTAGATTAAAAGTAATGATTTCTACGAACAGAATAAAATAAATAAAATGGAAATTAAACGAGCCGATTTAATACAGCATAACGGATAATACTTTAAAATAACAAACGAAAAGGTTACTTTCTTTCTGATTTTCTTTGTTCACATTTGTTAATCAGGCGGAATAACAATAATACTGGTAAAATAGTGACGACATATATATAAGGTGTTTCTTGTGTTTGACGATGGCTTTGTCAGTTCTTTTGAGGAAAACAAATTATTAAGTATACAAAATGAAATTTGTGTACACTCGTATCATTTCGGATTTCATTGGTTAAAGTAATCGTCTTTTTTTGGGGAAGGAGTCAGACTGGTTTTACATGATATACGACGGAAATGTATGTCTAATTTCCTTTAATAGAATTGTGTTTTATTTTCCCACTGCAAGAGATTCTTAAATCTATCTACTTAAGTTTTTAAAATTTCATGTCAAAAGAAAATAAATTTACTTTTTTTTATTAAAAAAACAACAACAAAAACACTCCCCTGGTTAATTTATGGCAAAGGGCAGTTTTCTGTTTCAGCTGGTTAGGTCCTTACAAATGTTTACAAACTAAAGGGTTCTCGTTAGTGTACACAGATAAATATAACAGAGATTAAATGCAAACGGTTATATTAAAAAGCCACTTAAGTCTACGATTAGAATTTGAGCATATGTTCATGTTCATAAGCTACTATGGAATAATACCCTTAAGTAACTTATATTACACTGAGGTTATCAAACTGTTGCCACAATAAACTATTATGGAATAATACCCTTAAGTAACTTATATTACACTGAGGTTATCAAACTGTTGCCACAATAAACTGCTATGGAATTATACCCTTAAGTAACTTATATTACACTGAGTTTATCAAACTGTTGCCACAATAAACTACTATGGAATAATACCCTTAAGTAACTTATATTACACTGAGGTTATCAAACTGTTGCCACAATAAACTACTATGGAATAATACCCTTAAGTAACTTATATTACACTGAGGTTATCAAACTGTTGCCACAATAAACTACTATGGAATAATACCCTTAAGTAACTTATATTACACTGAGGTTATCAAACTGTT